TGGTGATTTTTTTTCAATAGGTACATCATTTGGAGATTTTTTTGTGAAAAATGTCACTTATCGATGCCTTTATTTCTCAAACACGTATCTTATAAAGAGTTATTATTCAGGAGCTGGCAAAACTTTCTATTTATTTTAAATTTCTTATCAAGGTGTTAATTTGTATGCATTAGTTTAAGAATAGATGAAAGCCAGTGTGTGAATATAAAGGACATGTGATGTGAAGTCAGAATGCAAAATTTTGTATTTACAATCCATTTTTTACATTCCAGTAACTTTGTGCTTTAAGATACGAGTTTGAGAAAGTAAGGCGACCAAATGTGGTTTCACCTTTAAGCAGACGATATTGTGTTTGGTAAAAAACATAGAATGATAGTTGTTGATTATGTTTGTAAAATAGTTCTGCGAAGTTGTTAATATCTTACAAATAAGCCTGTATATATGGATTCAATGTCATCAACTCTCACGATGTTTTGCTTTAGTGTAATTTGTTGTCTTGAAGAAAAAGGTTTATGATCACTGCTTATTGCTTTACGAAGTATGGTAATTATTAAATGTACCATATATAAATAATTTGATTCACACAGAGCCGTAAAATTATTTTCAATGTACCAAGTAAGTTAAATCAATGCGTCCGGCCTTTTTTACGTTACGAAGTGACGGGACGTACAAGGCGACACGCCTGTCCATGTCGAGTGCCACTCAGAGCTTTAAATCGCAAAGATTGAGGGACACTGCCACTGCCCCTATCACCCTGATACATAAGTTGACAAGTCTCATGTGCCTATAATTTCAGGTGCGTTCATTAATTCACCTAAGTGCATTAAGTACACTTTTAGTAAATTTAAATCACCTGGGTGCATTAAACATAATTTTAGTAAACTTTATTCACCTAATTCACCTGGGTGCATTAGATAAACGTAAACGTAAACGTAAACTGCATTCATTCGGTTATTTAATATGGAACCTTTTTGTCACTGGGACTCTAGCTTTACTCATGTGCTCAGTAGTACGATTCACGTAAGTTCAAGCTATCAAAATATCGTTGAAGTTACGTAGTCGTTCGATCGAAGTCATATCCAAAATGGATATTCACGTATCACTTGAACGAACGTTGATATGAGTAGAATCGAAACGTAACGATTAATGAACGACATCTTGGATTGTGAAATGTTGGCATTTAGTCGTCGAAAGTCTCAATAGACTCTTTCTTTCAATAAAGAACTGTCAATATTTTAGCAGAATACGCATGACTTGTCGTTTAGAGTCGATTTAAGTTCGATACATCGACCCCTCCTACGTAAAGGATCGTATGTCGAAATTGCCAAGTTTACAGGGGAGTATTTTAAAGTTCTGAATTCACTCTTTACTCACATAGAGTGATTATCTAATAGATCATCTAACCGATATCTAGAATTTTATAATATTCTATGTGATTAGCGAGCTTTGCCGAATAAAACTGAGAAATGCTAAAGTCACGTATTATGCTTATTTCAGTGAATTCAGAAGTTTAAAACGCTCTCCTGTAAACTTGGCAACTTCGACATACGATACTTTACGTAGGAGGGGTCGACATATACCAGAATACGCTTTAATGACATTTGGATCGAACGACTTTAAAATCGGACTCGTTGACGTTCACTGTCACACGTGAATACGAAAAAGCAGTTCAACTGCTAAATCGCTACGATATCGTAACGGTTTGATTACGTGAATCACCCCGCTGGCCACTTGGGTATATTTTGTGCAACAATTCGACTTCAACAGCACCCTTGTCCTTTAAAACCCGAACGTAATAATGCTCGTATTACTGCTTGGCGCAGTAAGGTGGCAGTACTTCCCAGGACCATCTTTGTCACAAGGAGCTCTACTGCTACAAGATTTAACAAATGTATGTAGTAAAGATACCTTTGACAATAACTACCGTTATAAAGTTTTCGAGAGGCAATCCAAAGTTTGTAAATACATTGTAGCACGACCCCTGCTAGATAAAAGGCGAAGGCCGTTGGATCTTTCACAGAACCAAATTAATAACACTTGCACAAATGTATAATTACCACACTTGTATTTTAAAGACACTAACAAAAGATCTTCAACTCGTTTACACTCGCATAGGATTTAAGGTAAATTTGATTTTTAACATATCCCCACAAAAAAATCTAAAGGGGTGAGATTTCCTTAAATCCTATGCGAGTGTAAGCGAGTTGAAGAGAGAGAGAGAGTTGAAGGCTGAGGTTCAGAATACGATTTGTAATACAATTCATCACAACACGTTATTAAAAGTTACTAAAAATGAATTCGTTAAAAGATTAAATTTGTGTACCCAAGAAAATGGAGCTCATTTCGAGCAACTAATTAGTTAGATTACCATATTTTTCGTTTTATTAAAATACGTTAAGATTTCATGTTTTTTTTTTTTTTCATTTAATTAACCAATTTTGTGAGAGAGATTATATTTTTATAATTAACCCTATCGATCGATCCAATAAAAGTGCAGGGTGCATTTTTTCAGATTAAAGCGGGTTCGATTCCCGCGTGTTGCTAGAAATTTTCGAAAAACTATGAATGCAGTTTTATTTCTTTTAAAAAATAAAGGAATGTTTCCTTTAAGTAAAAATTTCTATCTCCAGTATTTAGAGTACTTTCCCTCCAGGTGGCATTACAAATTTCCACCGGTTATATAACGATTTAATATGTAACGATTCCGATGCTCGTTCGTTATTGTAAGCTTCTTTATTTCTCATCGTAAGTGAATGTTTGTATTCTGTTTTGAGAAATAAATGTCTTAAACCATGTCTTTAAGGCTTACGTATCTCCACAATTTAATAAAAAATAAAAATGTAAAGATGTAGGCAGATTAAATTGCAAAGATCTTAAGGACACTGCCACTATCCCATGTGCCTGTAATTTCACCAGCACCCTTAACCCTTCAAGACTGGAAAGCTGTAATGCTCGCATTATTGCTTGACGACAGAAATTGGTAAAGTTTTAGTGCTTCCCTGAACAAATTCTTCCACAAGGAGCCTACTATTACATATTGATTTGACATTGGTCCGCATGCCAAATATAAAGGGCAACTGGTAGAAATCCGAAGGAACACGATGATTGCCGAAGATATTGAGAGGATAGTTGTATTGTACATAATTTACTATATCGCACTATTCATACAATAGTGTATTAACTCAAAAAGTGTAGGAAATAAAAAAAAAATTCCGGATTTAAATCACGTATATTTTTTCAAACAAACCGACGTCACGAGTCAAGTGACCATGGGACCTGTAAAAGGCCCGAAACGTCGGTTTGTTTGAAAAAACAAATATACGCGATTTAAATCCGGAAAAATAGTTTCATTTCCTATGTGTAACAATCGCGAAAACCTAAGAACTCAAAAAGTGTATTTTCTCAGAATTGACGAAAAACGATTTACTCGCTTCCCATGTATAAGTTATTTCCCACTTACCAACTGTACATATTTAAAAATAAAAGAGAAAGAATAAGAGAAGGACTATTATGGCCAGAACCAGCTCACATAAAGCGTGTCTCATTTTGAGTTAAGTAGATATCTTTTGGTAGTTTTTTACAATATTCTAATGGCGGTTTTATTGACGTGTCGAGAATCAAATTTTACGTTCAACAGTGGCATAATCTTGAAATTCACATATTTTGAATTATAACACCATTGTAATAGCTGTGCGATATATTGCTTTTTTAAAATTGCCAGTGTATAGTGAAATAAATAACAAATATAATAATTACTAATATGATATTATACACTAATATAAATATTATTGCAAAATCGAATACACATGTAGGTACACCAATGATAGCTCTAGCTAAGTATACATACATAGTTATGATATGGTTATTTTTTCACCCTCTTTGTTTATTATTTTTATTACCATTTTTTTTATTATACCAAACCTATAACACCTGTAGTCCTGTTCGAGGTGAAAGTGTTAAAAAAAGTAATAAATGCATAAAAGTAATTATATGAAAATGCACGACTATTTTTTTTTTGAATGTTTTTATTTTTGAATTTTGAATATTTGTTTTGAGGTACCGTGAAAAGTTTTTACTTCTAAATATTTTTTTCTAAATTCCCTACAACATGAACGATTTTAATATGCAATATGTCATACCATACAACTAACGCTTACACAACTCTAAAGTTACGCTTTTAAAGAATTTACAATTCATGATAGGTAATTATTTACAACTTAGGTACTACAAATTATCAAGTAGATAATAAAACAATTCCTTGGAATCATAATTAAGAAATGGTACCATCAGAAAATGTATCATCAATTAACACTATCACTAGACAAAAAAAAATGTTTAAAAAATACATTACATTTTTCATAGTTAATTAAAATTAAATTTTTAATTCTTCAGATCTTAATATCGACAAAAATAATCTTAAAATATAATTTAAAAAAAAATCAATTCCTTTTCTTCGTGTATGAAAAAAAAACCAGCTTTTTTTCATTTACTGGTTGCAAAATATTACTTGAGATCTTTAAAAGTACAAATTTGTTTTCTAAGTAGAATTTTTAAATTATGTATTTTTTTGTAATAATGCAAAATAATCAAAATAAAACGCTTTGCGTAATTATCTTTAAAAAAAAGAACAGTCAAAATACAACTACTTATTGTTCTTATTATTCTCGATTTACAGTTAGTGATTATATAGTTTTTTAATATTGATATGGACCTTTTAAGGTTTTCTTTTAATCGTTGACATCAGAAGAGCCCAATTTTCATCTAAATTTTTCCTAACACTTAAGTCTATAAATATATCACCTAGCAAATTTTAATGTTGAAAAGTCCTTACTAGAAAACAACATATAAAAACTAAATTAAAAAGTAAAATCGTAAAAACTATAATACTTCAAAACTCCCGTTAAAACCGGGTGCAAAAAAAAAATATTTGGTTATTTTCTAAACTTACAAATCCTCGTTTGGAGATCGTCTATTAAATGTAAAAAATTCCAACAGTGAACACATTACACTTTTAACACCACTAATAACTTGGAATAGATTCTACACCCGTAAATATAAACTTGTATTACATACTGTGATATTATAATCGTAATTCTAACATAAATATACGCGAAAAGTCCGTAAGTACGATTACCACAAGAACTATAATTCCACTTTAAACTCTCTGTCAAATACACGAATTCTTTATACACACTGTCACATCCTTTTCATACACAATGGTACCCGTTGCACATTTGTGTATAAGTGGGAAATACACAATCATATTTTGTTTATTTGTCAGATCTTTGCTCGTTGATGGAGAGGTTCTCGGCCTCGTCCTTGATGTGTGAAAGAGATGCACGATATCTGTCCTCGGAGCGAGGGTAGTCATCGTACGGGCTGGTCTCCCCAGAGCGATTGCTTGAAGACTCCTTATTAGAACTCGAGTAGTCTCCTAGAGGAAAGTTCGGAATTCATTTAACGTGAAATCAAAAACTGAAAAATACAGTGTTTTTTTTAAATGGGAATGGGAAATCCGACACCATAGAAGATACAAGGAAACTGTCTTTGGAACTACTATATTACTGTTATATAGTCTTTTTTCGTGAATACAATTTTGGTATAGTAAATTTTTTGGTCAAGCGTGAGTTGTCCATAAAATTGATTAAAATTATTTTAGTGCTCTTTTTTTTTAGTTCTTTCTTACTTTCTTACAAGTATGATTTTATTGTATGAGAAGAAAAAATCGGGACAGCGGAAGTCGGTCAAATATAACAAAATGATTTTTCGTACAAAATGAAATTTCGCTAAAAATATAAGGTTTAGAACACCTGCATTCACACTTTCACAATAACATTTCTTTGTTTACGTTTTTGACATCAAATTATGATTTATTTGATATAAATAAAAAACAAGTCGCAGCCTTTGTTAGCTATTTTGGAGTAAGGATTATCGAAAAATGTTTTATACTTAAGAAGATGGGTGTTTCATTCACGATAAAGTTTGAAATGCTCTACTTTTCGCTGTATACTTAGTTCAAAATTTCATTATTATGCAATACTGCGTTTTCGTACTCGCAACGGCACATAAGACTACACAATTTAGTTCGAAAATCGCATCCAGTGCAACGGAACAAGAAACGTCAATGTGTAGCTTGATGTGCTGGCATGTGTACATAGGCAGCGATATATGCGTTTTGTTTTGCAATGTGTTTCATAAACTCCCCAAAAATGTTGCTTTTCAAGTCAATTTCACATAGAGATGAGTACCGTGAGATTTAAAATTTGTAAGTTGATTGCATACTATTTTTAAGCTAATAATGAAATAATAAAATAAGTGAAATGTACTATATATACACTATCATTATAAAACAGTTAAAACTTTCGTTTGTTTTCTTATACATAATACTCGGTATCGTGTTGTTATATCTATTTTAGGGAGTCACCATACTTATAGACATGACCTCGAATGAAACCAGTCTGAAAAACTTTTTCTCCTTTCAAGAAAAGCTAAAAATACGTTTCGTGGCGGCTGTCCGTGGGGAAACTGCATGAGGACTTATGTACGAGATTCTGTTAGAAACAGAAGTCGAAGACTGAGGGCTTTCAAGTCGAGGTTCGTAATTGCTAACTACTGAATAAGTCAATTCCGCGTTAATAAATATGGTGACTACCTTAGCAAACTTGTCGAGTGATCCAAGGCATTGTTACCTTTGTTGGAATAATCAGAAGCCTGCATCTCGTTCTTGAGAGCGTATATGTTCGGCTTGATGTCTTGGGCCTCGCTGGCGCTCAGATCCTCGGCTTTCACATCGTGCGAAGAACTGCTGCTGCCATATCCATTCATCATGGGAGGTCGGCTGTTGATATTAGAAGACATGGATTTTTATACATATAGGATCACTCAGAATAATAATGGTGCAGCCCCGTATCTTCCTACATTAGTTTTGACTATAGTGGCCCTCCCTACTGACCCTTAGGGTATACGAGAAGGGCACTATAACCTGTGCGTGCACAGGAACCTTCTAAGTTCAGGTTCTGACCCTAGATCAGCCGGTGTACAGGCTTGTCACAGACTGTTATTACTGACTTCATCCGGTTCTCAAGAGGCTAGCGCCTCGGGTGAGCCGTCCCGGGTGCACGTACAGCACCCTCCCTATTTATCAGATAGGTACCGGAGCTGTAGTGTGCTCACTTCCCGTTGCGCATTGCACAACTAGCGGTTGCCACTGCTAAGCCGTCGACTCTAAAGTACACTACCAAATCTCTTCATTGGTGGCGGAGCTGTAAGGCACGCTGAGTTCTAGACCTAACCTAAACCTAAAACAAACTTACCATTTAATCAGAGACACCTTTATGGCATCATTAGTGTTCGACATTTTAAGAAACTTTTTAAGCCACTTTGATCTTTAATTACATTACGTAAATACAAATTTCAGCTAAAAAGCTGACGTTCCTTTACACTTTTCTGTTGAATGTGTGAAGATGGTATTCCACCGGCGACGCGAGACGAGACGAGACTAAAAATCTCGCCGGCCTATTTCCACCAAAAATTGCCATCCAGTTCGCGCTGTGGTTGTGTGACGATTCAGTGCTGTTTAGTTCGTCTAGCGAGAAATACTCGGCTGAAGTAAATGTCCCGTAAATGATTATTATTAAATATGTTAACGGAAGAAGAATCAGATAAAGCTATCTCTTTTAAATCTCAAATCCTACGTTCCACACAGTCTCGCGATTGATATTAATAGCCATCGCGAGATCGCGCCAGAAATCATGTTTCCGTTGCAGAGTATAATACTCTATGTAGGCAGCAATACGGTTCAATATTACATGAACAAATATTCCAATTCTCGCCTCGCCCATCCTTGTAAATCCAGACCACATTATACAGTAGCAGTAGAGCTCCTTGTGAAACAGTTCGTCCAGGGAAACTTTCTTGGGAAACTTGTCCACTTATGTCTCAGGGTGATGTGCGTAATGACAGTGCCCCTTCTATATCTGCGTTTTCAAGTTCTGAGTGGCACTGCAACTGTTGTCGACAGGCGAGTCGCTTATCACCAGGTCCACGACTTCTTCGTCCCGTCACTTGGTATTATATAAAAAACATTTCCACTGAAGATGCGCGATGCTCGTCTCGCCTCGCGCCGGTGGAAAAGCACCCTAAACTAGGAGGTCAGGTTTCTTCGGGCATCCACTCTATTTAGGTATGTGATATTTATTGCCTTACCTGTAATCGTCGTGCGAAGAAGGATAGTCATCATTCCCTTGCATCATGTGATCTTCGCCAGTCATATATGACAGGTTGCAGTCTTCCATCATACCCTGTAAAATTATATTCTTGTATTATTTTACCATGTATTTCAAAAGTAAAATATTGAGTTGTTTTTAGGTTGTTCTTGGTGGCGTACGATAGTTAGGGTGATGGCTACAATGATCGACACTGAGAGTCGATACCACAAGTCGAATTAAAAATTTTCGCCTACGAATTTTGCTGGGGTCGAGCGATTATAAAGATAGTAAAAAATTTTTATTTCACTATAGTTTAAAGTCTCGTAAATGGCAAATTTTGAATATTAATCGCAATCTTATTACAGAAGCGTATGCATTGCCCCTTAAATAAATTTGAGACTTTGTGCAGACGACTGTCAACAACAGCTACTTTATTTTTATTCCTCGTATTAATGTTATGTCAGTTACTATTTTTCTTAACTTAAATAACATTTTCATAAATGTACTGTGACGTTAGTCTAAGAATGTTAATGCTGTAAACTTATATCTCAAATTTGTGATTTAGAGCTCTGAATGGCACTGTAACTGCTATAGTTAGGCAGTTAGGCGTGTTGCTTACCACAAGGTGCACGACTTGCTCATCCTCGGACTTGATATCCTAAAAAAATAACTTTATGAATACAAACCTGAAGGTTACGTTTCAAAGCCTCGCTGTAACCATGTGGGCTAGTCATCATTGGTGGACTTTGAGCTCCCATGAACCTGTCAAATTATTGTTCGATTTATTTATTTCATTCTTTTTCTCTTTACTTGTCAATTGATTTTCATTCAGGTTTCAAAAAAAACAGAAAATAATTTTTTTCTCTCTTTACCATTTGGATGACTTTACTTTGATAATTTTGTAAAAAATAAATAATTATAAAATATATTACCCCGGCCATTTCAGACCTCTTCTAAAATTGATTTATTTTTTATATTATTTTTTCTTCATTATGTATTTTGTGTATGTGTAAATATGTGTAGTGTGAAATTTTGAATAAGGATTAACCAATTTGGATTGTTAAGTAATTTGTGTATGAGTGGCGTGTACGTGTGTGTTAGTGAAAAGAGAAAGATAAATAGAATAAAATATAGAAGAAAAAGGCAAGCTTCATTGTAGAAAAAAGTAGAAAATCTGGTAATAAAAATCTATCTACCATGCGACGAAGTTGCACATGCAAAGCGAATAAGCCCACACTTACCTGCATTTAAAATATAACAGGGGATGTAAACATGCAGATGTTAAAATGGGAATAAAAAAATATTTAAAAAGACATCAATCTTACTTGGGTATCCAACGACGATCGTTTTTACAATACAAACCATTTTAAATGCTCATGCATGTCATATAAAACGTCATATACAAAATTGATACACTTTAGGCGGTTCGTCAAATTATAAATCAAAAATTATTCGAAATTACAATGCAACATATGAATTAAGCTAAGTTTTTGAACGAGTTATAAATATGTTGTGGTGTTAAAAACTATGGCAAAACATATAGTTATAGCTTCGCACTCTAGGAGTCTATTAGATCAGATTGTGCTTGCTGGTACATTGTTACATATATCATCCATTTCCTCGTGAACTGTCCTTTTTGTCATAATTACCAGACGATCTTATTCACTTTTAAATCATATGACTGTCTTTTTTAAATATCAATTTACGTCGTTCTTAGAAAAAGTTTGAATTATTTGCTTTATGATATTTTCGACAGTTAGTCAGGAAATGGACGGTTTTATTCAGTGAATGTTAATTATTTATTCATATTAATTATTTTCATGTTATTTCAATGTCCAAGCACAATCTTTTCGAAATCATCTATATTATGTTTGATATTCATGTGTTACTAGTTACATTCTAACATGACATATTGAATTAATCTAAGCTTACACGGTGATACACTTTACATAATGGTCAGAACAGAACATCAATCTAGTTTTAACTACCAAACATTACTATTTAATTAATCTGTGTTATAATAATGTTTGGTTAAATTTTACGTACAAAAACACTAACTGGACGCGATCGTCCAACGATTCTTTAAGTTTTAAATCTTAACTCCACTTTCAAATAGTTTAATACAATAGGTTCATTTATTGATAGGTCCCAAATAAATAGACATAAAAGGTAAACTCGAAATATCTCACTGGTATCCTAAACGTAGTTTCTCTAGAAGTTTCGCAACTCAGTATAATGTATGAAGTTATTGTCAGCGATGGGTTTGAAATCTCAAAAAGAGATAGATTTTTAACCGACTCAAACGACGGACAAAAAATAGGAGGAGGTTCTCAATTCGAATCTATGTTGTTTTTGTTACGCGATAACCGATTTTGATGATTCTTTTTTTGTTGGAAAGAGAAAGAAATATTCCACCTCCAAGGGTGGCAAACTAGGGGATGAATGACTTTTGAGATCGGTTTTTTTAATATTCTATACTGAGATTATGTGAACCGATTTTGATGGTTCTTTTTATTTGTTGGAAAGAGGGTACTTCTGTAGTGATCCCATTTAAATTTGAAGAAAATATTCCATCTCCAAGGGTGGCAAACTAGGGGTTGTATCCGGTTTCGCGCAGTTTCCGGTGACCGATTACAATAAAACTTGGCAAATAGATGTAATTCCACGAACTTTTGAGGTCGGTTTTTTTATAAAAAAAGTTACAATTTAGTGTACAAAATACTGAATTGTAAGATTTCCGAGAACGCAAGTACATGAATTCGTTGGACGGTCGCAACTGGAGATGCTTCGCCCTTACTGTGGAGGAGCTGTGTTGGCACTTGTCGGGGCCGGCTCATACTTCCTCGGACGCCCCCGACTCAGGTGGCGTCTCTTCACGAACTCAGCATCATCAACCATCCAGAAAGAGCCGAAGTCGTCTTCGTACCGCACAAAACACTTGTGCAGTGACAGGTTGGTCCGGATGGCATTCTATAATTCATCGCCGTTTAGCACATATTCAACAACCAATATCGTACTACTTATTTTGAATTTTTTTTTGATATGCTTTCATCGCTTTTGAATCTCAAATTAATAATTAAAATATGTGATAGTGACAAATTTAACGATGAAAACATAGTAAGATCGTCGTGGAGATATTGAACGAAACTCATGCAATGGCCCAAGAAAAGACCCCGAAGGATAGGAACAGATGACAGGAGCAAGGTTAATAGGCAAGCGAGAAAACATTATTCACCGTTGCGCTGAAACCCACGTACACACACAACAAATCCTAATTACGTAAAAAATGTACATAACACCACTTCTCTGTAACATTACAACTGATTTATTTTTGACAACCCTTTTAAGTTACCATTACCATTACCATTACCATATCAGTTGCAACATTACTTACAAAGTTCAATTCAAAATTAGCTACACAAATAATTATAAATTCAAATCTGAAACAAGATAAAATGTTTATTTACACAATAAGAGTTAGATACATTGCTAGGTTAGATAGAAAATATTTGAGAGAAGATTAAAATGTCTTGATTTCAAAGATAATAAAGTGTTTATTGTTCAGTGAGTTGTGTGTTCTGGTCTTTGTGTAATTTTCAAACACGTGGTTTGACGTTGAGTTAAAACAACAGCCATTTCCTTGTTTGTGACGCGATTTACATATCTCTTAATCATTCCAACGAAATGCAGGTTTATTAGAGAATTTTTCAAATTCCCAAACATTTTGTCACGCGTTTTTCATCAATTGCTTTGACACGTTAAACATGGTTATAACAATCAAGTTTCAATTAATCTCACGAGTTATTTAACAAAATTTATGTTTAAAATTAATAAAAATGAACGCTGTATCATAAATTTAAAGTTGACAATCATGATTGCCTGTGTTATTCAAAAATGTATTTTGTGTTATTTTTGCGTTTCTGTGTTTAAGTGTTGCTAGTGCCACGTCGTATTCATGCGTAGTAATCTAATAATGTATTAATGGTAGCTTTGTGTATTTGGATGCTTAATGTACAGTGTATTTTGTGAGTTTTTTGTGTTGTATTCTTACATTGTGTGTTTACTTGTAATGTGCATATTGTCTTGTGTTATTTAATGTATTTATGTTTATGTTATTGAACATTGTACTCGTATTTATGTTTGTGTATTATTTACTGATGTATTGAAGACCTAGTGCTTTAAAAAATTTTATATTATAATCATGTAAGGTTGCTTATGTGAGAAATATATGTATATATGTATATTGTACAATTGTTTTTGTATTACATGTTTGCGTGATTTTATTATGATCTAGTAATGTATTGTGCTGTGTAGTTTTTTTTTATAAAATAATGTAGTTATAATTGTTTTGTGGTTTCGTAATTTCTAGGCATAGTAAGTGCGAATTAAATATGTATTTCAGGCAAGTTGAAATATTTTCGAAGTATTTCTGTGTATTTGGAGTAATATTATTCGAAAGTGTAATTGCAGTGCCAAAGTGTATAGGTAAATTTGTGTTGAAAGTATATGTAAATGCTAATTACAAATGAAAATGTGTATTCTGATCGCATCAATGAAGGTTTTAGGGAAATATCTGTATTTCAGCAAAAATTGTCAAAAATAATTTTGTGTGTTTTGTATATTGTGTGTTGAAATAAAGTTGTTTATTCTTGTGTATATATGTGGTGTAGTAGTGTAAAAGTGTCATAGTGCAAAAGTGTTTATCCTTGTGACGTAGTAAAAATTCATTCGACTAGTAATAATAATAAGTAGTATTGTATGTAAGTTCATTATAATATAGCAAAAAATATTACATTATTATACAGGGTTATTTTTAAATGACTAATAACCTCGCAGGACTACATTACTAACATCATATACTACAACTTTTGTTCCATGACTTTTAATAATTCGTCAGATTTTACTTTCATACAAAAATAAAAATATTTAATCGTATGCTCTAAACGGTTATTAACACTATGCGGTAAGAAAAGAACACGATAATTGGGCTATGAGGTCGATGCCCTATGTAAACAAATCATCCGATGCGAAATGCACGAAAGGGAATGGGCGGGGGGAGGGAACGTACCTACGGGCGCGGGGCGTCGGCGGCGGTCAGTCACTTTGATGCATTCGCGTCGTAAATGCACATGTTATTTATTGTTTTGTAACTCTAATTGTTAGCACGATGACGTATCGCTATTCAAGTGTAGAGTATACATACGGAAATGGTGCAGTTACTTGCTATATGTGGTGACAATGTGTCGGAAGCCTGCCGCGAATATGGAAGACGATTTCCTACAGTACTTACACCAAGCCAAGTTACAATGTTAGCTGCCACACAGCGATTAAGAGATCACGGACAATTTTACCCTAGGTCCAGGATTGTGGATTCAGTGTATTGTCAACAGCACATCATGTTACAGGTTTGTGTTCGAATATCGTAGTATATCGGAACTAGCTCCGCCAATATTTAGCTCGATGTGCTGCCATTCGTACAAACCCAGCAAGCGAGTTAAACGTGGAAACAAGCTATTAATTAACTTCTAGGTATTAATCACAAGAATTGTGCTAGCTATTCGACGTAAAAGATGTAGGTCATTTCGTAATAATAATTGTTAAATAAATTGTATTATTTGTAGGTATTATTTAGCCCTTGCGTAAAAAGCGCGGGAATTCCTACCGACAACAGCACGCGGCCGGGAGGCGTTGCTATACATATGTTCAATTACTACTATACAGATCTAAAACATGTCAGATAGCACAGAAAAAATTTAAAAGTTTGTTTTCGGTAAATTTATTGCGTTTTGTAAAAAGTCGTAGAACAAAAGTTGCTCGTTATAATGTTAGTAATGTAGTCCTGCGAGGTTATTAGTCATTTAAAAATAACCCTGTATAGTCGTATAATGTAGATGTGCTTATAATGGTATTAATGTAAAACCTAGAAGCGTCTCTTCGTGTAATATAAATTATGTATAGTATAACAATGTGTGTACTAAAAAAATATTTTTGTATATTGTAGAAGTAAAAAAAGTATAGTATCAATGTAAAACCAGAAAAGTATATTTGTGTAATGTAGTTATGTGTAAGTGTATATTAGTGCAATTGTAAAAATGTATAATCATGTGACACAGTAAAAAATTGTATTTAGAATCGGTCTGCATGGCAGGGGGCTCGTACCCCGCGTGCACGGGCGGCGGCGGCGCGTGCGCAGCTCTCTGTGGCCGGCGTTTGTAGAACTCCACTTCGTCCACAGTCCAGACGGCTCCCTTGACGTTCTCCACTCTCATGAAGCATTTGTGCAGCGACAGGTTGTGACGCACTGCATTCTGTTTGTACTTATCTAGTCTTTATATGTCCTTGTAGAACAGGTTATAGATATACATTTAAATAACAATTCACCATTTTGTTTCAGTTACATCGTTAAAGGTTAGTAAATGATAGAAATACCCAGATATCTTTCTCATTAACTCTTTGTTGTTAAAAATCTGTAATTGTCTTTTAGGTCCTCCCATAAACAGTGAACGATTTCGCGAAAAGTTATTGGAGTATTGGTTTTTGTCCCCTAAATTCTTTTTTAGGTGTACGTATTCAATGAATATACAGCTTGAATTTTTTCATTTTACAATGTCTAAAACATGTGTCATTTTACCTATTAATACGAACAACTATTGCCCTGTTTTAACTGGATTACTTATTTAGATCTATCAAGTATGTTATTGATATGGAACTGTTGATATTTTGCCGCAATGTGATTAAAGCACCCTTAGTAAAAATTGTTTCTATTACGGATAAAAATTACCACCCAAAAAAACAGTGAAAAAAAATTACACTCGAAGCCTACAGTAAATTTGCTAGTGCACCATCATTTTTACGCTCTTTAACATCAAACTAATGAGTTGTGTTAACTTAATAATAAACACTTCTAAATACAATTGATATATAAAATAATGTAAAAGTATTAATAATTGTATACATATATAGCACAGTTACTATAGAATCTTATTGTTATTTTACCTTTTAATATCCAAGTTAACGTCGAAATCAAATAGTTATTAATTTTTATCTTAAAAATTACCTACTTCATATATAATTACGAGAACTCTAATGTCCTTCTCTTTATTACGTTTAAATTAGTGTCTAAGGCATTTTTAAACAATATTTTTTTAAATATTTTCAATCTACACAACATTACTTTTTATATGCATCGTAACGAAACAACTGCGTAACGGTTGAACGTAATAGGACTACTCCATTTACAATTTACTTCACTGTTACCATTTTGGTAGCAATGTCTATTACGTTAATCGTGCATCCAGTATTTTTATTAAGACACATATAAGGGAACTCAATAAAAGTGTAATTATTTCTAAAACCTACCTTCCATGTAGCGGCATTGCGTCTGAAGTAGCAGAACGTGGTCTGGAACCAGTTGTAAATCTCGTTCAGTGTGAGCTGCTTGTCCGGAGATTCAATTATAGCCTGTAATATACCAGTTTATTGTAAAACATCGCGGATATATTTGTGGTTTCTTTTAGGAATTTTCTATAGTTATTGATATTGTTTGAAAACTATAATGGTGGCTGTTCAGGCTAAACAGGCTAATCGAGTACCACTGTCGATCACATAGTCGCTTAATATCAGGAGAAATTGGTCATGATTGACATGATTGATGATGAATATAAAAAATTGGGAAAATGCAGACTATGACAGAACGGTTCACGGTTTGATAGGGAAAGTTACGTCCTTTCTCTAGTTTATCTAAAACAAACTGATCAATTCAGCGAAATTTTCCATTTTATGACGTTAGTATAGAGAATAGATCTAATAAAACACATAAAACAATTTAGGTCAAAATTCCCGCCCTTGAGAAACACCCATAGAAAATATTGGCTGGTGCGAAGTTGAATTGTTTTTAATAACAACGTCTGAAATACAAATTAGATCATTTAAAAGATAAATGTCTTCATAGAATTTTATGTTTTTGCATCTAAATCCTGAAGGAAAAAATCGCAAAATTTGAAGATTGAACAAATTCAAATGCTAGTGTAAAATACGAACCTGTCGAATCAATGAAGCGTATGTGAATGGAGGCCGCACGTCAGCTGATTTGTAGAATTCGCGATTGCGTTGAATCTCTGCAAGTATTACAATATAGATCAAGTAAATTTTATTCACAATACGTTCATCTAGCGTTTAATTTTAAATGACAACATTTTACCTTGTTGAACATCTAATCCAGCTCTTTCGAGCATATATGGAAGACCTTTGGTAATATAAAGAAATAAATCAATTCTCAGATGAAAATTTCCAATACAATCAACAAAATTTTGAACAATAACGGCTAAAGTATCCTAATATAAAATTGGGTTTTACAATCTATAATATTTTCTTAAAGAAAATAATAAATAAAATAATACCTCCGGCTATAGCGACACCAGATTTATCAGACACTCGACGTCGAACAGGTCCTGGAGATGCACCTTCGCTGGGAGCTCCTGGAAATCACAGCATTTCACTGACACATGGATTTTATCAATTTTCTTACAGTTCCTTTTCTTAATGACATCAATTCAGCACAATGCAACTCTGATTCCCTGGTAGCTATTCTGTATTCACTATTTATTAGAAAAAATCCAAAATCAAATGACCGATAGACATACGAAGAATCCAAACTCAGGATAGCCCAGAGACCGCTAAAGGGAATTGCCTAAAAAATAAAAGCTTTACTCAGCAGAGTAAGTTGACATAGAGAGTAATATTGTAGATACATTGTCGGGTTTATCGTTTTTCATAACTATAAAGCAAGTGTCCAAAAGCCACTCACCATGAGGATGTTTAGCAGCATGATGAGAAGTATCTCTTGCAGCATGCAGGTGTCTCATCATGGCAGCCAGGCGGTCGCGCTCGCGACGCAGTTGCAGCTCGAGTTGGGCCACAACTTGCATCTGTACGCGGGCCTGTGCTGCAGATCGGTCGTCTAGGGTGTGCGCTGCTTCTAAATGCCTGTTTTGGTGGTAAATACGTGAATCAACACGTAATGGTGTCAAACAATGAGCAAGATATTGAACGTTTTTGAGAGATACCTTATCTTAGATTGAGGTGAAGCCTATTGACCTCGAGTATGATCGATCAGTCTACCAATTGATCAATTTCATCCTTTTGGCCAAGAACAGTAGTAAATATTAGTGCTGATACTTAATGCTAATACTTAATTAGTGCTGTTCTTCTTGGCTGATTTTTAGTTTAAGTGGATACCGTTAACGAGAGCTATGTTTTTGAGAATGAAAATAATTTATTTTAAAATGTCTTACTTGACAAAAGCCTGGTAGTCTTCAGCGAGAGCATCGCAACCGGGCCATTTGCAGACTCCTCGTCCAAAAAGAGGATGTTCTTCCATTTCACTTCCCCACAGCATCAGTCCTGTTTACATTTATCTAAGTTAAAAAATCCTGTACATTATATATTGTTTCCAATTTTTTTTTATTTCCATTAATTTTGCTCATCTATTTACTGAGTCTTTGCCTGAGTCTTATTGAGTCAATTAGATAAGTCAAGAAGAAATATACATGGAAAATAAGTGAATTGATAGATTTTGAAGTATAAATATTAATTAAGACATTTAATGCATTTAGGCAATACAACATTCACGAAGTCGACTAAATGAAATAGAAAACAAACCTGGAGGAGCATTCGGTGGTACAGACAGCGGTCCGTGCATGAGATACTGGCGCTGTACCGCTTGCAACTGCTGCACTAACTGCTGCTGCTGGGCACCCAATTGCTGCTGTAGAGAACCTATTTAACAATCTTATGTTTCAATACAATCGTTTTATTTTTCAAATTTCGGAGACATTTGATCGTCCAAAATTTTAGTAAATTTCAGCACACGCTAAAACAGTATGCATTTAATGCTTCAAAAGAATAATACGTTGTGAAATTAGAATTACTGTGTACGATTCGCAATAAAAAAAATTTGTAATGCTAGAAATTTTTCACACGCAATGAACCCTTGAAATGATATGGAAGAACCGGAATTAATGATAAAATTCAACTGTAGTCAGTGCTGAAAACTGATTGTCGACATACCAGGTGAAGTGTCAGGTGGTGGGAGATGCGATTGCGACAGAAGATTCAGATTAATCTGATCCTGCAGCCGCGATTGTTCCAGCTGCCGTTTAGCAGCTTCTGATGACATGTGCTGTTGGAGGATATTAAGGTTTGTATTTTGAAGAACATAAGAATAGAGGTCAGGAAAGATAATGGGTTTTTTGAAATTGAAAAAATGGTGATTTATATACAATTAGATATTTTTGGTTGAATTCAAAGCTAACAATGATACAATGTATGTTAACATAGTACTTAATATATGTGAGCGTGAAGTTCATGTTACACAGTTGTTTTTATTATAAAAGCAAATGATATTAAACAATACTAAATAAAGCTAAGCAAACACCTCTGAGTTAAACAGTGAGTAAGTTTATTTAATTTGGATTTACGAGCAATTACAACCCTTACCTGCTTCTGCATGTGATGCTGATGAAACAAGCGTTGCTTCATTAGTGCCTGGAGCTGGGAATGCTGATCCAATAGTTGCATGGCAAGCAGGTCTGGGGCCACCATCGGAAGAGGGGAGCGGGCTCCACTGGCCACTGCCCCCACACTGCCCGTCGGCGAGATTGGGGCTGGACTGGAGTGGGTTGACCCACCACCGGTGGGTGATGTTGGGGCTGAAGCCTGAAAATTAGGTTAGTTTTGTTTCCGAAGATAAGAGATGATCAAAGAAGAAAGTAAACTAGTGTGGGCAGACATTGATAAGTTTTAATTGCTTAAATATGAAAGCTTTCACATGGATTCTATAGATTCTAAGGAAATACCTAAAATAGATATTTTGTACGACTTAGAGCTAAAAGGACTATTATATTTATTTGTCTTGAAATAAAGAGAAAATACGTTCTAAAAATTACCCGTGCAAGCGAAAGGGGCTCATTGTTGTCGCGGGTAGGGGAGGCGCGGCGCGGCGGCGAGCTGCGCCGGCGCCGCCGCGCCGCCTCGCCCGCTCCACCCCACCGGCCGGACTCCTCTCTGCAAAATACCAATATTTCAGAATTGGTTGTTAAGACGATTTAGAAATAAACTCGTTGATACTTCCAACTTTTTCTTGTATAATCAATATTGTTATCGAGACATATAAAGAACCGGACAGCAACTCTAAGATTCATATAACACGAGTTGTGGTGAAAGGAAATTCTTATAGATTGCTCACTGTGAAAATAATAATGACGTTGATAATTATAGGGTCGGTAAACATGAGCACATAAGTCAAGAAATGCTTAATTCTTTAAATATATAATTATATTTATTTTATGTTACTTATAACGGTGGAAGATGTTGAAATAATAATAATGTTCATTAAGACGCCACTAGAATTTAAGTTCAAATAAAGGAATTTCAATTACAAGAACGATGCTGGTTTTTGACTTACGAGCATGTGCCGAACCTAGAATTATTATCACGTGAAGAGAGAAGTCTACAAAGAAGGACAACATCACAAATGTGAGTCAGCCCAATTGTTACTTACAGAAGATACACAAAAACAGCAGATTTGTCGTTCTTTTTAATAATTTCGCTTCCTATCGCACTTTTCTCATACTAGTGACATGAATAAATTAATTAACTGCGAGACAGACCTAACCTAGTGCAGGAATCTATTAGTCATTAGAAGCTAATGTACGCGATTGATGCTGCAATTGGGGTTCGGTTCTTGGGTTTTGTAAATCAGTTTAACATGCACGTTGTGAAATAAATTATTTATTACTTTTGTAGATGACGTATAAGTTTATGTTAATAAAATGTCAGAATAAGACCAAGAAAGAGTGTAACAAGCACTTACCGGTCCAGACAGCGGTCCAGCTCGAAAGAGTTGAGGAGCGGCGGCTTCGCAGCGCCACCTGGGTTTGTATTCAGTGCCGGCTCCGGACCCTGTAAACAAACATGTTCGTTGTTAGCAAATTAATTAATAATATATAAATAATAATAATAAAAAAGGAAGGTGAAATGTTTTTGATTTTGACTAGGATTCAGATGAATTTTGAAGAAAAACTGGATTGGAAACATATCGGCTCATCCGAAGAACAGAGTCCGATGTGACGTATTTATACAACGAAACGAGGATAAATACGTAATCTCAATATTGAAACTAAGGCCTATCTGTAGGAATTTCAGAATTTATATATGTTTTTCTTTTCGGAAATATAAAATCGAACAACGGTTGATCTAATATCTACAGCGTAGAATAACGATAAAAATGTACAGTGTACTGAGAATAAGCAGTCTTGCACATAGGTCTTTGTTCTACGGATGAGTCGATAATATAGAAGGCGGACCAGAGGTGTGACAAAATAAAAGATACTTAAGCTATACTATATAAAACTGCGCGAATTCAACAATTCGAAACAAGTAAAATTTTTGAAAAGACTGGTAGATGATGGGTTATTTATAAGCCGCTCTCGTAATCCACGTAGCAGCCAGGCGTAAATTCATACACACAGTACCCATGTATTAGCTGTTTTGGATATAGTAACAATAGCGTGAATTTATCTGTATGACAGAGTAGTATTTTAAACTATTTAGATACAAATTAATAATTAATTTAACACCCTTTAGGTTCTAAACCGATATATAATCAAAGCATGATTTATTACTTTTCACATCAGCTGATAAAATGTCATTCTATGATATAATATGTATTTATTCATCAGGTAGACTGTCTGACGTTTTTATAACATAAAAACACTTAATCAAACCAAAACTTGTAACTTTTTCCGCGTAATACCTATTACGTACCTATAGGTACGTCAAATGGTTCATAGTTTACCTATTGGGTGTGGTGGAGTCCAATGTTTTTGTCAACAATCATCGCAAACGCAATAACAAAATAGGTTATTCCACAAACAAGATGTTTAAATAAACAATTGGGTTTTTACATTAAGACGACAGTCGTGGGATCATGCTCCATAGAAACGGAATTTGATTCTACTTTGATAGACACTCTTTTAAACACTAGCATCCAGGTTCATGGTTTCCCTTAAAATTATATATAATTTAGCCGAAGAACATCATCATAAGACAATGAGTTCGTCTTATCTTCATCATCGTCATCATCCCATCCCAAAGAAGTCCACTGCTGGAGGCCTCCCTCAAAGAATGCCACAACGACCGGCATTGTGCAGCTTGCACCCAACTACTTCCCGCAATCATCACTAGGTCATCGGTCAACCTTCTCTATCGTGTCAACAATAGTGAATTCTCTATATTATATCCATACCTTTTTTAAGACTGCTTTTAGGCCAATCCGATTTCTATCCACAGCCAATTTACAGTTACTATTTCAGTGATTACACTTAAAATCTTTCTGTTTCTTACTCTGCTTTAGTTATACTAAGCTGGAAAGATATAACTTTCCACCTGTCTTTAAAGTTACGCAGATAGTCTGCAAGATCATCACTTATAACTAAATAATTTCCAAATTTGAAGAAACGTGACTAAACGAAACCTATATGTCCTTAGTCACCTGAATGATGCAATGTTGACATTAGATGAACGATTTACACAACACTCGGTGTTGGTGCTGCAAATGTAAACTTAAGCCCTTTGAGTAATTTTCAGTTCACCAAATAATGATTTGTTATGTAAGCGAGGGTTATAAATGCCTTGGAATCCTTTGAACCGGTAAAGGAAGTAATCTCATCCAAATCGATCGTATACTCAATAGTAAACATTATACCCAACAGGGTGACGGGTGTAATGGCAGTGAAGTCTTTAGCGATTTAAACGTATTATCAATAACAGTGGCGGTGCAACTGTTATGGATAGGCGTTTCGCTTACTAGATCTACGACAAGCTGGTCCCGACACTTGGTATATACGTTATCATAAACGATACACGATAGTAAAAGTTATTAAATACATTGAAATATATAAAAATTGTGCCCTACATACACCCCGAAAAACGCCGAATTGAGATCGCTATTTTTAGAAAAGATTACTTAAGAAATTACTCACTTGCAGGTGTGTGAGTGAATTAGTATAGACCATCAATGAAGGGAACCTTATACAAGAGTCCTTAAGGGCTGAGATGAAATATGTCACACAACAACTCCTAGTTGACATTGACAAGTTCAGCATTTCTCTTCGAAGATCGAATAAGCACAAAGAGAATTCCTTCGCTCTGACTGGACACGAACCAGCATCTGTTTGCCGAACTGCCGCTTTTATCAACAGAGCTACAAGTTTCAGACGAGCCGAGATCGAATGTATTTTTTTTTAAATAAAAAAACATCATGATAGTCATCAATAAAAGTGGAAATTGAGCAATCCTTAGAGTTTCTTCCTCGTTCTTCTCAGGGAAGTTAGCGTAGTGAACGAGCAGTAGCTTAAATGTGACGTTTTCAAGTGTAAATTTATTTTACCTATGGAATACCTATGATTCTTTGACTGTGACTTTGACTTTACCATAACGGAGAATCTTCATAATACTATTAACACAGGTCTCGTACCTAGAATAGAATGTGGTGGTTAAATTCTTGATTACTCATACAACCAATTTGTAACTAATAAAAGTTTCTTTCGTGCACCCTCAGCGAGCAAGCAAGCATTAGCAAGCTTAATGTTATATCTTTTCCTTTTTAACCGACTTCGAAAAAAGAAGCAGGTTCTCAATTCGACCGTATGTTTTTTTTAATGTATGTTATGCGATGACTCCGTCCTTTGTGAAACGATTTTGGTGATGTTGGAAAGAGTAGCGGTCCCATTTAAATTTCAAGATTATATGTCACCGCTAAGGATGGAAAACTAGGGGATGAATGACCTTTGAGGTCGGTTTTTTTAGTATTCTGTACTGATATTTTTTTATAATATCAAGTGACCTGGTGGTAAGCGACACGCACTGTTCATAATAGTTGCAATGTCAGAACCGGAAATTGCAAAATCCGGATGGACTCTACCACTGCGTTCATCACCCTGAGACATAAGTTGACAAGTCCCATGTGCCTGTTATTCCACCAGCGTCCCTACCCCTTCAAAATGCTCACATTGCTGTTTGGCGGCTGAAGTAGGTAAGGTGGCAGTACTTCCCAAGACGAACTCTTTCACAAGAAGCTCTACTGCTACTAGGTTATTTTATACCCAGCAGGCAAGATTTATTTACATTTAAACAAAGACCTAACAAGGTTCTAGACAATAGACTACTTACTGTATTAGTTACATACACAGGCATGAAACTATTGCATTAAATTATTATTTTCGCTAAAAAACAATAGCTTCAGTCATCGCGAACTAATACATCCTGTAGTTACCGTCAACAAAAAAAATCGTGGGCTATTCTTTTCGAGCATTTGAACTAATTGTGTTTTATCAAACTCTATTAATCTTTATTTCATAGGTAAGCAAATTATACTAACTATACTATATTATATTAACTGCCCGAATGGCCGTGGCCGAACGGTGACCATGCTGGTCTACCACGCACAGGTGCCTTCAGGGAGAAATATTTGTATAGCATACATTTATTTCTCTCGTGGATTTGGGTGTAATGTGTGGTTGTCTACCTATATGTGTGTCCATGTCACCCGCGATAAAGGGTTTCCCTAGTGCGTGGCTATGAGTATGTGCGTTAAAAATCTATCCGTTGATTAATGATCAAGTTAATGATCAATTAATAATCAAGTAATAACCAAAAATAAATAAATAATAAAAATTGCCATGGAAATTAGATAGATAGTCAGATAAACACTTTATTCACTAGCATGACACAAATAGAGATTGAATACAACAGGAAAACTAAAACATTTTTTGTCGTAGCAGTGTAAATGGCGCTGACTATGCCTAAGTTTCCTAAGGCGCTGGTTTTCAGTCAGAGCCAACGACGAGAAGTAATTAATCTAAAAGTTATTTGTAATGAAAGATCTAATAAACGACTGGGATAGAAATTGTTCATTAAAATAATAAATGTAATAAAGTGTGCATCTAAAGTAACCTATTCAATATGTAAGTGCATGTGCGGCTTTGAATATATAAGTGTAACTGTAAGTGAAAATAATAATTGTAAATATGTTTTGATGTCATAAAACAAAGTAAAAATGTAGGTATATTTAGAAAGGCTATATGTACATCTAGAAACTTTTCAATTTAGTTCTATCCTCATCGTTCCTCCTTCGGTTGACTAGAAGGTCCGGAACACTCCATTCTTATGTCGATATACCACCAATTCGCACTAAGCGCTTTGCTTCCTCCTTTCTGATGCGTGTGGCAAAGGAATGAAATACTCTACTAATGGAATAATCTGTGTTTCCCGAAACGTACAATTTGGCGCTTTTAAAGGCTAGAGTGAATAGGCATTTTTTAGGCAAACGCGTTCCATCGCCGGTCAAATCGTCGTTTAACATCAGGTAATATTGTGGCCAAGCGTGTGTCTATTATATATAAAAACGGCTACAAAAATTAGGTAGTGAACACTAGTCAGAGAATGACCGAAATAATTTCTTATTTCAATTCATATTTAGAAGTATTTGCAAAAACACACGCTCTTAAATAAAGTTGTGCAAGATATAAAAACCTAGCCCTTGTATCTAAGGCAGGCAATCATCTCTAAGTACCAACATTGTGTACTTAACATGCTAAACAATACATGAGGTCATGCTCTTTGAAGGGATTATGTTTTGGCAACATATGTCTTTAACATAAACACTTTACCTTCAATCATGTTGGTTAGATTGTAAACTAATAGAGTCGTTATTTTTTAAAACATCCTCAGTCTAGGATAGACTGCTTAGCTCAATATATTGTTTGAATTTATTGCATATAGTGTCTCCTTAAACATCATCTGCCGTAAAAACTAATCCACATAACAATTTTCCTATCTTGAAGGAAGAGAAGAAAATGTTACATACACCCATCGAGAACCAGGAATAGAGACGAAATGTC